TATTTTGAAAGGCATAAAATGTTGATTCAAATCATTCATATTTTCTATCATCAAGGAGATTTCATGTTCTTGTTGTGGAATTTATAAAAAGTCTAAAATACTTGAATTTTTGCTTTTGAATATATTTTATTTTAAGGCTCCAATGGCTGTCCATAATTTTTAAGTCCAACTTAATGTTAAGTTCTACTTAGGATCTTTGTGAAACACCCCCCTGGTCTTGAAGATCATGCATGGTTTGAACGATATAAAGAAAAACAACCCGTTCATGAAGGAGCTGGAAACCAATTTAAAGATAAACGTGAGTTCTGGTAAAAAAAGAAAATGAATTCTCACAGAATCTAACGAAACTTACACTGAATGTTCAAGATTACAAATAAATGTCATGTGCCAAACAATTTTGGAAGAAAATGTATACTGGCTGAGTAATGAGCATAGAAAGATAAGGAAATCAGGGTAGTACTAGCCCCGACATCATGTGTGTTGTCCCATATACATCTTTCTGTGTAAGTGATTGTTACTTTACCAAGACTCTGCCAAATTTATGATGATTTTGATGACTCCAGAACCTTGCATTACACACCATTACTTACACGCTATATGATCAACTTTGCTGATCCATTCCACACCTTTTCTTTCACAATGCAATCGCATTACCAGAACTCAAGTTTATCTTTAAGAGGCCACAACATATTAAATTCCACAAGGAGCGTGCACATCTCAACATCCGCAAGTATAGCTTCACACACCGTGTGTAGTTGACACCATGCAGGGGCCCGGTTCATAAAACTTTTTATCTATAACAAATGCTTAATTTCTATGATAAATTTGCTCTCAGCCAATCAGGTGCCTTGATTCAGTAGCTTATAACAGTAGCTTGTAACGTGTTATTGATATCTAGTTTTATGAAACATGGCCCTGGAACAAACCGATGTCAACTTCATATCAGAGGTAGATAAGATGCCCATCTTTCGAAACAGCTCAACAAGTTTAGTTATAGGCCCAGCAGGTGATAAAGCTTCACATAAAAAAAAGATGTTGTATTGCCCTTTGCGACCGATGCAAAAATCTTAAAATGCATGGTCGGCTTTGTATGATTTTTTTTTTACCGTTTTAATGAATACAAAAATATGTATTAAAGCATTAAAAACTGGAAAAATATCAGCCCAAAGAAGGAGAAAGAAAGAGAGAGAGAGAGAAAAAAATCGACCGACTGACCAAGATGCTGACACCTAAATGGCAATACAACATCTTTTTTGTTAGGCCTATAATCCTGTTGAGTCTTCCCACAGATCGAGCTATGGACCTCTTTGCAATGTTGTATTGATGAGCTACATGGGAGGGTTTTATAAATCTTACTAAGGAGCCCGAGAAGACAGGTGATTACAGGTATATAGCAACATCTTCAAAAGTCATGCAGCATAATGGTAAAAAAGAATTGGTTAAAGAATCATGAACATTATTGGGTTTTCTCCTGAATATGTCATTTTCATTTCAGGAATGTGATAGTAAGTAACATGTGTTAGTATTTAATGGGTAGTAAATGTAAATCACTATATGCATAATCATCCAGTTTCTCTTCATCGCCATACCTGTAACGTCACAATGACACAGAGTTTCGATATAGCAACGCAAGAACATATTTCAATACCCATTTGCATTAACCATAGGTATCTTGTTCGGGCTATTCCCACATCCGCACAATTCGATAGGTGACCACAAGGGTCGATTTCTGGATAGTCTCTTTGACTGTGTTCTTTCTGTTCTTTTCATTACTTTGTAGGAGTCTCTTGGTTACTCCCGCAACGTTTTACTGTCATTATACCATTATCAACAAATTACCGTTTTCTACATCAATGCATTCCGCCACCGCTCTTAATCACGGGTGAGGGATTCTTTGTACCGGTTATTCAATGGCTTCTATAATCTTGCAAAGCTCCTTGATCTAAACAACTGTATTTTGAGACATCGGCAAAAGGCAGCAAAACAAACCATAGGTAGTCGCAGGTTTATTTATTCGTTTGTTTGTTTACGCATTTAATAATTTGCCCCCCTTTTTTTTGGGGGGGGGGGGGGTTGGAGGTTCGTGCATTCATTTTGTACACGTGCCTCAGTTTTATTGATTTATAGTCAGATATTTTATGTTAAAGGTAATACAAAGTTTTGGTATGGGGTCATGAATTTGGTTCAAATGAACATATTGGAAGCATATGCAATCCTACAACATTCAGTGATCGTTGTCGCGGTTGAAATCGAGTCTAAAGTTATGAAGTTGCAAATAGTACACTCTTTATGTTAGATTGCTCCCTTTCAAGGTCAAGATATTAATTAAGCTATGAAACAATATTTCTAGACTAAAATCGACCGATTAGCTATTCCCGTTTGGAAATTATATATCACAACTACATATTCTGAAATTTTCATGGTCGCAGCTGCCATTGTACGGCCGTGGGCGCTATTTGAAATTTATCAAAATTTAAAGGGAGCACCGGTAATTTTTTTTATATTCAATTTTTCTCAAAAGCAGAAGTGTTTTAGGGGCTAAATTTTCTAGTGCTTATAATACATCCACAGGGGCATCCAAATAAATCAAAATTGTAAAGAATCACTATCCACCCAATTTTTAAAATTTCCCAAAACTTTGTATTACCTTTAACACCTCTGCCGCTTTACAACTGTCTAGTCGTACATTCTTACATGTATGTGCAGTCTCCATGACCTCGTACGATAAAGAATATATATTCTGAAAAGTGCGTTTGCTTAATGCTTCACACGGTACAAGTATGTTTCAATCTGTTTTAGTGGAAAGACGTCATTTATTACGGAACAGGACTCTGGGAATGCAAGTCTGATATCTATTGTATCCCTATAAAGAGTACATTATGCTGCACCCGTCTTTTATTGACTTTCTTTTTCAAACGCGGCTTACGTTCATTGTAGTGATAAGTTTGCATAATTGCATAATGGCGGCTTCATGCCAAAAGATGTGCGGTTTAATAAGCGTTTTTTCAAATATTCGTTCTCGTCAAAGTTTGTCATTGTCAAAATCTTGTCACATTCTTCCAAGATTCTAGGTTTTATAAAAAAAAAAAATCACCAGATGCTTTAGGCCAAATAACAAAAATGAAGTGTTTCCCGTCCCCGCCCGCCTCCTTTTGGGCCGCCACCTCCTTTTCGTTTTACTATTTACTATTCAGAAGAAACCCCCCCCCCATGGGTGTCGATCCGTAACTGATACCTATTCATCAGGGGGGGATGATCTATTCATTCATCCCCCCCTGATGAATAGGTATTACGTAAGTATCGACACCCATGCCCCCCCCTAAAAAAGCAAATAAAACTAGCTTGTGATATACCTGTTGTTTAAATAGCTTCTTAAGTGATACACATCATTTGTTTTGTCAGTATGCTCACATAACACAATATCTATGAATTTATATGCTTGGCCAACTATAATTAGCATTGCAGCCATCTTGGAAAAAATGCAAAAAATTGCAAACTAGTAAATAGTAATGCCCTGCCTCCTTCTTTTTTTAAAAGTCCGAACGAGAAACACGTTATTTTTGTTATCTGGCCTTTAATGTACTCAATAATAATTGTCCAATACATGTGCACATAATGCATGATTTGCTTCAAGAAATTTCATTACTTTGAGCTCAAAAGTACAAAAGAAAGTCGTTTGGATCATGTACCAGAACGTTGCTATCATTGTTATCATTATTGCTTGCTACAAACCATGGGAAATTTTTAGTTTTCAGGCACAAATGAACAGTTTAACTCCAAAAGGGGCTAAATCCATTTTTGTAACTTCAGAGAGTAAAAAGAAATTGTTTACCAGATTTTGTACAGGCATCTATGGAAAAGTGATATTAGAAGGTGCATTTGTTCATAATTGCTCCCAAAATTTATGTAAACAATTTTGATGAAAGACAGGAACTTAAGTGAATAATGTTCTGATATTAAGAACTCAATTTTCATCAAAAGTGGATTAAGCCCCTTTTGGAATTACGCTCTTCAAATATTTGTCAGTCGCAGCGGCTGTGCGCAGCAGGGTGGGCAACGCGAAACAGAGGAGATTTTACATTTGGTGAAACTATAGACCTACTTAGAATGGGCACTTGGTCTTTAATAGTAGGTCCATGGATACTTCAGCTTCTCCGGACACAGCCAGAGACCGTGGACCTATTCGTAATAGGTCCATGCAGAGACTGACAGAGTTAGGTTCTGCTCAAGGATCTAGGAATTATGGTATACATATATCATATTAAAGTCTGTGCATTTAGATTTAGACTAGGGAATGTATATTTCAGTACTGCAACTTCTATAACTTTAAACATTCAAGACGATACAAGCAGAAATCTGATTATTTGGTATTTATTAACATAATATATATATATATATATATCCAATGTCATAAAAATAAAAAGTATCGACGCTTTACAATATAATTTACATTTCATGATACTTATATGTACAAAATGACAAGAAATGTATTGTTGTCAAATCAATTGGCTCCAATAAATAAATTACATAATGAATTAAAATCCTTCACAATTTTCAATATGTATTAAATCAAGAAACTATAGTTATATAATGTCAATTTGAGAATTAAAGGACCTCAAATGTTCTTGTATCGATTGATTGATTGATGTTAATTTAGTTTCCATATATACATCAATATATGATTTTTAACGCGTTTACATAAAACCATATATAGACAAAAGGGGGTCAAAGCTTTAACCGACGTCCTCATCATAACTAAAAGATGGTCATACAATATCTATAAATAATATGTAAATATTAACTGGCCTGTTTCTAATTGTTATTAAGTGTGGCTTTCACTTTATAACCAAAATTGAGTAATTTCTGGTCTACTATGCGAGTTCTTTTAGTTATTTCATCTTCACATTCATCAGTCATGTCCTAATTCGATACAATGGCATAATTTAAAAAGATTTGATTTGATTTGATTTGATTTGATTTGATTTATTGGTTTCTGCACCTTTTTTTTTTCTTTTTTCATCATACATTTTCATGAACATAATATGGTTTGATCCACGGTTAAACCCCATTTTAAGTCCAAGGCAGATTTGATTGAATAATTGAAGAACTAGTGAAATCCTGAACTGCTTTTTCTAAAGTTAATACGATAATCTGGATTTATAGAGCGCTTATTACGGAATACCGTCTCTTTAAGCGCTTTACCGATGTTATTAACCCGGTCATCGGATTCATTCACGCACACTATGCACTCCACTGCACTTCCTGGGAAGTAATCCTACCGTATAGGCAATTCCTAACAGAAATGATTTCGTCATCCTACCGGGTCCCCAATTCTCTCTTGGGTATTGAGTGGCAAATGTACATTATTGCCTTGCCAAAGTACATTCGTGCCGTGTCGGGGATCGAACTCACGACCTTTGAATTTGCAAGTCAAGTGCTTAAACCAATCGGAACGTTTAAAAAACATTGACTCCATTGTTAAGTTTAAGATTGCTTTAAAGACGCACTTATTTAACATTTAATTCATCCATTTTGTCTATTACCCAATACATCTTGTCTTTGTATTTTGTTGTGTTTTTCTCTAGAGCGCTTAGGGACATGTTTCAATACTATGTGTTATGCGCTATACAAGAACGGTTAATTATTATTATTATTATTATTATGATTAATAGCGATTAACATAGATATAACTCATGGTGATACAGTGAAACAAATATGCATGATATTTAAGCCCAATGATAGTCAAATGAAAATAAGCAAAACTTCTATGATAAAAGTCCTCGATATGTAAATTTTACATATCTGTCTCGCAACTCTCGCTTATAATTTGCCGGAATCCATCCATTAAACAACATAATCATTAGGCCTGCAAACATGATCATGGGGTCTTTAATGTATAACAAGCTTTTCGGAATTCCGGTTGTACAAGAATGTCACTGAACCATGCTTCATTCGGACCGGCTAGAAAACCGAAGAAGACCGACAATCCACGAGATCGGCAATGTTAAAAGGACCGCGAGCCTGACCGTCCTTCTTACCTTCGGTTTATATCCCTGCAGTATTATGCTACGTATGGCGTAGGTCAAACGGTGTCGGTTCTCACAGTGACCTGGTGCTACTTCCCGAATCCGCTTTTTCCATCGGCGTTCAATGCAGGGCACATGGCCGAATGATGTCACATCTCACAACATTTCTAGTCCACTCAATTTACTTCGGCTGGTCGGTTAACATCGGATGTTCGGGTAACTTCGTATGTTCGCTTCAAAACGAACCTTCACCGTTTGGTACCATGACTATCCGAACCAACATATGATTGTTTCTTAGTTTGGTCATAATGTCACAGCTCACAGGTAACGATTTGTGATCCGTTATTGAAGGCAGGGATCCTAGCCTTAGCGAATCTACTAACATCAGTCCCACCAATAGCAAAGAGGTGATATTTGTCATTTTCGGTCATATCCGTGGCCCCTATCCGTTTGTAAAGCTTCATGACATCCGTGTTCCATTCAACGACAGTACCCTGGATAGCCTTGCAACCACGTTCCTCAGAGATCTGAAGAAAAAAAATATGAAAAAACAAAAAACAATGAGCTTTAATTTGATGCTCTGAAGTCTTTCAGTATGGAATTCAAAAATTCAATTCATTTATTTTTCAATTTCATAACAACTTGAACCTCGCAATCAAATTGATTGGATGACAGCTAGCAAAAGTGTCTGCTTTCTTTCATACTGTCAGGTGTGTAGTCACGTGAGGGTCGGAAGTGACCATAGTTTTGTTGGGGGATGAATACCAGAGCCCACCGGGTGCCAGGGGGCTCATTTCCCACGTCTCATGGCCAATCACCCAACCCTTGACCGCTTGGCATTCTTTGATCACCCCTTGTGTAAGGACCCATGTCACGTGGTGTGGTAAGGACATCACCTGACAGTTTCATAAAACTTGTTTTCGAAGTCCTTCGACCTGACACAATGAATAATTGAAATAACCCTAAAGACAGGTTTTAAGTTTTTGATAATCGGTCAACCTGGACCAGAATATATATCATGCTTTATTTATTGATTTACTTCTAATCACTTGGACATATATTTTTACAGATTAGCATGGTCAGTTACAAAACCGATTTCGACATTGACCCTCCTGGCCCAGACAATAATCCGATTAAAGATTGAAATCATAGATAAAAGTACAATATACATAAAATGATTTAAAGGCATACTTAAATAAGAATAATCTATTAATAACGATGGCAAATTATAAGATAATTCTTTTGAACAATTATAAGACCTTACCTTAGCAATTGTGTGGAGAAGAGCAATGCCGAGCCCAGTACCTAAAGAACAGACAAAATAAAATTGTTCAGCATTAAAAGGTTTCATCACAATCATGCATCCTTAAAAGGAACGAAAATGAAGTCGAGAATACTATAGGTCAATAATCTTCCCGATAAATCAACGCTAATGGCAGATTAAAAAACCCGCCGTCAAGAAATCTATTAAATAGTGATTAAAATCAAGGCTGAATAGCAAACTGTAAGTCCGACGGGAATTGGAATGATAAGGTTTTGTTTTTTTCTTTTCTTCTCAGTAATAATCGTAATAATCCAGTATCCTGGGTTTCTGTACTGTCAAGGTAGTGGCCAGTCAGCACTAGGAAAACTCGCCCTGGCGTAAGTTATGTGGATTCTTAAAAGAGCTTACAGGTATAGACCAGTTTTGAAATGCCCACTTCTCAAAAAATGAAATGAAAGCTTTTTATTACCAATCATGTGAAAGCGTATGTTTTGACTAATACGTAATGATACAAATGTTGCCGGGAAACCGCCTACTAATTGATATATTTGGTAAATTATCATATCGATCCGCGGCCTGGATAGATATCGCGAATGCACTTCAACATTGACCATTTGGGCATCAATTTCTGATTTTTTGCGAATTTAGGTTGAAGTATTGCCATCTAAACCTCTGAAGGCAATATTTAACAAATATTGAATGGAAATTTTGAATTGTTGCACCCAATCCCCTTGAACCGCAATTTTACAACTACCGGTCTATATCTTTGAATACTTGGCCTTCTAAAGTACAAAGAGAAAGAGGCGTCTTGATGCTGATGCGGGATACGCCAATAACTGGGAAAATATACTAATCAGCCCTTTATCGGACAATTCGAAATATTTTATCGAGGCCTGGTAATGAAAGAGCGTGGGGAATGTTCTAAAATTGATTCAATCTTTCCGCTCGGGACACATGCCCAAATTGTCATAATAAATCATGATTTATGGCGAGTTATGCCGGGGGTAAATAACTGCTCCTCTGATAATAATGAGCCCCGTTTTAACCTTCTTATCAATAACAAGTTATACTAACTGCATGTTACAACTATATATGCCAATGAATTCATTGCATTTGAATGCCGGCTGAAAAGAATTTGCATGGAATTGTAATATTTGTTATTGACAAGAGGTCTTATAAATGAGGGTGCTGAGGAGGTATTTTGAAGAAAGAAAATCATTTTATCTGTTTAGGAATTTTTGTTTACTTGTCATAATAAAATTAAATCTATGGCGCATTATTGGTTAAATGATCGACTGCTTAAATGTCACTGACTTGGCAGAGAACATCTGCCCAAATAGTTGCAGGTCAGTGTTTGTCGTGAAATTTTGAACCCTTTTACTGTGATACATAATTTTGACTGATAACACGACCTCTGATAGCAATCAGCGTGATGAGGACACCGTTTACGAAACAGTCACAATTATGAGTTCACCTACATCCCTTTCAAACGCCTTTTTATTTTAATATACACATTTCATTTGGATATTAAACGGCGAACTTATACTTGGCGCGTTCATGAAACCATGCCTAATGAGTTAAATCATTCTTTTGAAAGGATGTGCATCAGCATTTTGATATGAAAATGACGGCACAAATATGATTACATCAGCTGTTTACCTCTGTATTCGGAATCGATGTAAACATCTTCAAGATAGAGGAGACGCCCCTTCCAGGAGCAGAAACCCATGAAAAAGAGGGCGTAGCCCAAGATAGACGATTCCTCATCAGCCTCCCTGTCTTCTAAGACGATGCTCTCGAAGACAGGATTATCTCCAAACCCATCTCGACGAAGATCTGAAGATGGAACAGAGAGGCAATAACATGTTTAAGATTTCGTCAACTACCTTTCCAAGTCACATTCGCGAACTCATATACCATTAAATCCCAAACGGCATCTCTATTTTAGTGATTGAGTACTAGATTTATGCGCATTCATATGACCTTTCATTATAATTGTAAGCTGGAAACAAGTAATATCATTCTGCTTATAAAACACTTTAGAGTATAGAACACTTTTCCTAGTACAACATCGTTACATGTGGTAACATGCCGAATTTCACTTTAAATAAAAAGAAAAGGAAAAAACAAAACAGACTAAAAAACAAAAACAGAATAAAACAAAACAAACAAGACACACACAAACAAACAAACAAATAAACAAAAGGAACTCACCATCTTCGGAGACTTCCACCCGATCTCCATAGTCTTCACTCTCTGCGAGTTCCCTCATAAGCACTGAGATCTGAGAACAGTCGTCAATCTGTCCTCGACGTATCACATAGCGTGTCATAGTCTTGGACATTGAACAGTTCTATAACAAAAAACAATAATGATAATGCGGTGAATAACTGTCATATTCCGAATATAATAGTAGACGAATGTCAGTATAAAAAGGGTGGTCTACAATGTATTTATGCCTTATCTCAAATTACCTTCTAGTGTGGGTGGTACTTCCCAACTAAAAATGGGAAAAGAAAAGGCGTTTACAGCTACAGCCTACATGACCGACAGAGACCGGCAGCCCTCGACCGACAATGTCCGTCTTTCGGGCCTTCTGAAAGGTTATCCGAGGGTTCAACAAACCCGCGACGCACCAAAAGAACCGGCAGCCTACACTATCGACGACCAGAGAGACTGACAGCCCACGAGACCGACATGACTGACGACACACGAGACCGACAGCCCACGGGATCAACCACCTATGATCTACAGTCAACGAGAACGACCGCTCAGGACCGATAATCGCGGGCTTTCTAAGAGTCTCCTCAGGGTCTACGAGACCGATATTAGGGACTTTTGGATTCAGTGGACGAGAACGGCGTGAACGTCCACTAATCATGCGTGTCTATACGGCAAGCCGTTTTAAAGGTAAAGACCAGTTATGGTCATGCGATTGCATTGTGAAAGAAACGTTGTGGAATCGATCAAAAAAGGTTGATCATCTAGCATCTAGCATCTGCAAGGTTCTGGAATCATCAAAATGATAAGAAATTTGGCCCATTCTTAGTAAAGTTACAAGCACTATACACAGAAAGATGTATATGGGACTACCCTATATCTCTCACAGACCATGAGAGAAACAAATTTACCAAATATATGAATTAGGAGGCGGTTTCCCGGCAAATTTTTTATCATCATGTATTAGTCAAAAAATATTCTTTCACATGATTGGTAATGAGAGCTTCCATTTCATTTTTTGAAATTGGGGCGTTTCCAATACTGGTCTTTACCTTTAACATTTATTCCAATTTCTCGATATCAAGAATATTTTTTAGTTGTGAAGCAATGGTAATTCTTGATATCAAGAAATGATTTTTCAGTTGTAAAGCAATGGTAAAACGGCTTGCCATTGACACGCAAGATCAGTGGTTGTTCACGCCGTTATGGTCCACTTAATCTAAAAGTCCCTAGTGTCTCTTAGGTGTCGCTCGACTGGGATGCCCCGCGTTTTCAATATTTTTTTTCTCATTTCAATACAAAAAAAACCCATCAAAGACGACAGTTTTGCCCTCCAACACGTTTACGTGTCCGAAAACGCGTCTCCATTCAAGATAAATAGAGTGGATATCCATTATTTATTCTTCACTCAGACGCAACTATTTAGTCTATAGATATTTCGAAGGGCGATTCAACCCTGTATTTTAAAATCAATACTCAGATACGAAGCTATTCAGTAAAGTGGTCTACACAAGCAAAGCACGGATCAAACCATTATAATTTTATTAACCACTAAACGTGCTCTAAAACGTATTTTTAGATTCATATATTGACAAAAAAGCTTTGCAACGAGGTTTGAATATCATTCTATTCTCCGTAAAACCAATTCTTGGTAAAACATGGTATCTGTTTTTCTGCACACTGAAGGGTCTACCTATTCAATAGTCCAGACATACTTATTCCTATTATATGTACAAGGTTTCTAATTGCTGCATAGGTACTTGACGCCCTGAACAAATAAAGCGAAAGTTATGTGAGATTAATGTAGTACATTGTGCATTCGTGACATGAATGACATGACAAGAGGGATTAAAGGGGATGACCCCCCCCCCCCCTGGGATCATGTAATTAGTCGAGGAAGGATGGGATGGTGGTAATCGGTCGTGTCACGGTCCTTGTGGCGCGGCAAACCGCCGCCTAAATTCCGCCTTGGTTTTTTTTTTTTGACGAGTAAAACTGAATGGCAACTGCTCGTAACAATGATCCAGCACATATTTAATGAGCTTTGTGTTCTGAATGATAGATATTGAAATGGGAAGCGTCTTGCATTTTACGTCATAAAAAAACACTCCCGGTCATATCTGAACAAGCCCCATGTGTATCTAAACTTCAAAAGGACAAGGGGGGGGGGGGGGATACATGCTTCATGCTCTTTGATATTTATTTTCTTCATTTTCGTCCCTATTGCATTGTATCTGCACTCAAATGCACGCGACTTTGTTTCATGTTTTGATTTCCTCAAAAAAAAATCTCATTTTGATAGCATTCTTGTGTACACCCGTCAGACGCGATGAACGTTTGATTTTGGTTCTTTTACGACAGAACATTATTTTGAGCCATCACCCTATGACAAACTCATTACATCGTTTCACCCCTATTTTATCTTGAACTGGTGAATATTGGGCCCCCTCTTTTCATAGTTGCCTCTTGTGCCTCACTTAATGTTCCCTTTAGTCCTCTTGAAACATATTTTCATAATCTCATTGCATTTTTGTTATTTACCCCAATTCTTGCAGTTTTTTAAAAATAAATTGTACTCTGTTTCCCTCCTAACAACTTTACAACCCTCTCTTCGAAAACCATTTTCCTTTAATTTTTTTTTCCTCCCCTTTGAATATGTTTGATGATTTATGCGAGGGATTATCCGCATTCAATGTGTCGGGCACATTAGTACGGTTAGTAAGTCCTCATTGATATCATTTGCCAATAAAATGTGATATGCTCCGAATATATTCATTGTATGGCAAACATTTATGAAATGCCTCTGGCTATATCAGGTTTCGATACCACTAGTCCAATCTTGCAAACAGTTAGCCATGCAAAATTAATTATAATGGTGATTAAATGTTTACCCGTGCAAAAGGAATTTTAGAGCAGACAAAGGGCGGATAGTAACCCCAACTTATTTGGCAACAGATTACGAACTACTATTGTAACTGATCCCATGTCTGATCCAGTTCGAGCTGACATTTGAATTACTTTGGAAGAAGATCTTACAACTATTACAATATAACAAGAAGCCTTAATTTCAGAAGCGTACTAAGTCTTGAGCTGTCTTCAGTATACCAAATTCTTTAATACTTCCTATAACCATTATTCTCAAGACATTTAGGCATGACTGCACATTCCAAATGATCTTTTGTGACGGATCTTTTATACGAAGACAGTTTCTAACTTTCCACTATTCAAGAGAGGTAAATAGCATCTTCTACTGTGAACCCCATCGCTGTATTCGTGTCAACGTAGAAGAAAAGACGTGCTAGGATCAACCAGGAAGGATTGTAACTAGAGAGTTCCGTGGAGGAAAAACGCCCACCCTGTATTGAACTCGGGCACCGAGTTCAACTGCCTCCTCCTCTTCATAATAATCATGAGATCAATACAGGGTATCCATGTGTATAATATGTTTCACATCCTTCCACAGGGATCCTTTATATCAACGTTTGACTCCTTAATGTATCAACACTACAAATAATAATAATAATAAATAATAATAATAATAATAATAATAATAATAATAATAATACTAATAACAATAATAATACAATACGATACAACAGACACAAAAAATGCATCTAGAACAATAATAATTATAATATACATATAACACTTATAGTTATACAAAGTTATAGCAGTATAGTCAACATTAATTTACAAAGATTGGGCATAATAATAATAACAATGGTGGAATCTTATAAAGCGTTAAGGTCTTACAGACAGACAAACACATACACATGTAAATTATGTATAATAATACAAAATATAGCAATATAGGGCCTATGCAACTTAGGCCAGGGCTGCCATTTTCAGTTTTCTAAATATAAACCATTTAATTCAATTCATATTCTATGAAATGTGAACATGATACCCAACCTAATATAACCCAATGTAACCTTAACCTCGCCCTCCAAAGAGTCAATAACAAAATTACAATACCAGACAGACCCCAAAGTAGAGCAAAGCACATTTATTTCCTGGTAGAAAGTGTGATCGAAGTTTCACATGTGTAGCCGTTTGCAGGATAACTGGCGAAAAAAAGACTTCGTAACCATCGTGCTGAAAATATATTTTTGCACAAGATTAGGAAGCTGCTTGGGACAGCTCGAAAGAATATGTACAAAATATTCCCAGAGCTTTTGCTCTCATCACTTCCTCATGAAACATATCTTGGAAAGTGAGAAAAACAGATGAGTCGATGGTTCTTTCTCGGATCTAACCGAGTTCTTCTTCTTCTTCTTCTTCTCTTCAAAATAATCTGCCTCCTTCACTGCTGAAGATTCTTGCAGATGGAAAATATGCCAAAATATGTAAAGGGATACCACTCTGCCTGGCTATTTCGATATCATTGTAAATACCATGCCATGAACTCGTGGAGTCCATTCCCCACTCCCTTGTTTATACCCAGATACCTGTAAAATTCGTTTATTTATGAAATGATGAAACTGAAATTATCTAGTGTAATGTCAAATCATCATCTACGCAACACTTGTTTGCCCAACGTCAGTGTTGTCTCCACGGCATAGAGCCGTTTTATATGAGATAACAATACTTTTTGAGTTCTGAAGAAAAATGAAATAAAATTTCTCACCTCAATCTTATCACCCTGATCTTTCCCCAAATCAATGGCGCGTTTGTCTTTCAAGACCAGCTGTGATACGGTCGTGATTAGTCCAGCGATCTTGGATGATTTGCCACTCTCCATCAGTGAGTTTTGAAAGAGTTAAATCCTTAGGAGGAGTCACAAGACAGATAATGATGAAGAAACGAACGCTTCCGAGAGAGTTACGTTTTAATAATAGTTTTATAAATCCAGCACAATATCCACGGGGCAGAGCGATGTTGACTTTCAATTTGACTTAGCTGTATAATTCTCTGCAAGTTTACTTAGCACAGGAGTTGATGAAAATACGGAAAATACAGATGTGCAGCTACCGGCTACCGGCTACCGATGGTTCTTCAAAGGATCAAGCAAAGAGAACGGGAGTTGTCAATATACCGGCGAATACTGATGACAACAAGTTATGAGTTTCTGATTACGGCAGACAAGTGATTTGAGTCTGACGAGTTGGCTGATAGTGCTCTACGGTGTGTGAAGTGCACTTCCTATGCGATGATTTTATATAATACTGTTCCGAAGCGGAGAGAGAGAGAAAAGCGAGACATCGATCCGCGCATATGCACTAGGAGAGTCCTGATTGGCTGGATTTTATGCAGCACGTCGGGGGGACCAACACTGAGAGAGAGAGAGAGAGAGAGAGAGAAGGTGGGGGGGGGGGGGGGGTATATGTTGCGTGCAATGATGTCAGGGGAATATACCATTTTTTTCGGTATTACTTTGATTGTTGGACCGTTAGCCTGAAATAATTTCAATGGAATAGTCTAGTGTTTGCATACCGGTGATAAAGAATAGATCCGGAGTTTTGTATGGATGTTCGGGGAAAATGCCACTTGAAGTTCTACGACCAATATTAGCTCCTGTGATATCAAACACACCTTTGCTTTCATGATATCACATTGTACGATATTTACAAAGCAATTTCCTGCTCTTCAACAAACGAGGCCAATGTCATTTATACTAAAGTTTGTTGATACTTGCTATACTTTATAAGATTGGAATCTTTAATGTCGGGATATTACAGTAACCTGAAACAACGTTATGAATGAGAGCCAAAGCGGGTATTTTTAAAATCTAAAAATCATGATTATTACACAAAAAAGTAGCAATTTCGTAATCTTCCAATACACAGAAACACATTACGTCATTATGTTATATATGCATACAGTTTGTACATTCAAGAATTTGTGTAATATCTATATATTTCTATTGTATTGTTTAGCTATAGTTTGTTTTAACTTCAACAAAATGGAAAACAATTCTTTTTTCCCCAAGGCAATAACATATTATTATATTTCGGGGCATAAAGCTATCGAGGTAATAATATTTTGACTTAGTAAAATCAACCCTACGACATGTTAAGTACATGTAAAATAAATTAACTGTATCATCGGTTTTAATGCAATGACATGCTGTTATGACGTTAGCTAACAATACATGCACACGTCAATGTATCTCTCTCATTACCATCACTGTTGTAATTTAGCATTTTAGGTATTGATTGGAAGTGAAATTAAAAAAAAAGTCTTGAAGTATGAATAGACGTTTTTAACATTTGTGAATTGAGACCAGGCCATCTGGCATTTCGACCTTGTTTGGTATTTGAATACCGCCTTTTTTATCGAGTGCAACACGATGTTGTTTGTTTATCAAACTTTTCTTATAATGGTTCTGCCATGTAACATTTATAATTAAATGTATACTAAGCTCGTACAGCGAGAGGGGCATATAGACTAGAAAACACGCACGAAGAAACGTCGTACAGTGAATAAAGAAACTAATTTTGAAGCTCTAGGTCAATAAAGTATTAACATTATTCTCCTAGCCAATCAGAGCGCGCTTACGATAGGCCCCGTCCCTGAAATATAACGATTTGTAATACTTGTGTACCACCACAAATATTAGATATTTTGAAAAAATTTGAAGAAAAAAAAACGTTGAAAAAAAATGAAATAACGCCATTTACGTCGTATGTCAGCCAATGCCGATGTTGGCTTTTTTGTTGGCATTTCGTGTTGCTTATAAATGTTACCCACAATTAGCCGGCTCATGTATTGTTATTTTTAATTAAATGATTAATTAACGGTCACCGTGTTTTGTTTAAAGTGGAGCTGAATTGGTATAATCGTATTGGCTAAATTTCACACATTTTGGGTTCTAAAATTACCTTCATAGCAATTTTAGGTTCTAAAAGGGCACTATAAATGTCATAGGTGAGAATAAAAGCAATAACCATGCACTTTGAAGGCACTTGCGGTCTGAAAACAGAACCCAACTATCCCTTTAACAACGTTCAGACTAGAGAAAATAATTGTTTATCGTATACGATGATTTTCTTTTCTTGTCGGAACGGGTACAGATCTTTGCGGCCCGTTGTGTAAATGTAAATATTGAATGTGAATAATTCCGTGTGAGATTCTGTGTGCGCGCCTTTTCACACACAGCTAAAATTCATCGTTTTCAGAGATGATTAGAATCACTCAACAGTTTTAAACATGTTTATAGAAAATTTTCCCAGTGTGAACATCGTTTATACGATGTTGGGATAGATACGAAGTCGCGATGCATACGCCCCTAAAAGCAGGCTGCCGATACGAAGTTCGTATCTAAAGAGCTTGACATTTTGTGTGTGAAAGGGTTTTCGTGTTTAAACGTGTTTAAACTGGATGGAGCGACCGCTTTGTTTGATATGACCTGACCTTCAATGCGCAATGGCACTACTGCGCATTTTACGAGCAGTAGTTAAATCCCGAAACGATTAACGATCGCAACGAAATTTCTGTGTGTGAAAGGCTCGTGATTAGTTTAAACACGTTTCAAACACGTTTATATTAATCATGTTAATAGAATTTTAGCTGTGTGGGAAAAGGCTGGATTCACATTCTTTCTAAATAACGCCTTTTTATTGCAAGTCACGTATATTGTGTTTGTCTTAAGCCCATCTGTATGTACTAGTGTGACCAGGAGTGATTAGACTCCCCTACAAGGTCACTGGAGGGACCAATGGTCACCGATTAGGCATTGTTTGCTATAAAGAGGGATCAAGTAGCTACAAGTAGTGCAGTGTGACTTTAAGTGATATTTTCGTGCGATAAGCCTAATATTCCTGAACATATGCTTAATTGAATTTATCCTTGAATATTTAATGACAATGCCTCGATTGTTTTGTTGGCTACTTTTCCGAATCTTCGATACATATCATACATTTTTCTAAATCTTTTATGATATTGCTGTGTGATGTTGCCATTGATATTTCTTTTGTATTTCTTTTGTATTTTGACACTGTTTTTATGTTGTGAATATCCGATTGCATTGTAAACAATATCGGCCTTGAGCTGCATGTCATGTACATTTGTTAATATAAGTTAACCAATTAAATTAAAATAAACATGATGTCCTGTTGGGGCCAGCAAAATTAACCCGTAAGTTTTTCTCAATGTTTATTGACTGTGGCATTTATCCTTGCCCTAGTCAGTGTGATCAATATCTTTTTTTTTTTTATCATAAATTTATAATTGTTTTGCTTATGAAACCAAATATTCTAAGGTTGTCGGTAAGGTATACATCAAATAGGGTAAGGACACGAGCAATATTGCAGATAAATGTCATGTTTCATTGCTACTACACAACACGGCTACAACAACACCTTTACTTTTAAAGGTAACAGGGCAAAACGTGCTCTCCCTAATATGTAACGCGTTTTTGTCAAGGGGAAGTTAACCGCGGTAGGCAAGAGGGAGAGAGAGAGAGAGAATGAGAGAGAAGAGAGAGAGAGAGAGAGAAAGAGATTGATTGTCTGGTTCATGTTCAACCCCATAAATAACTGGGCTTATTTTCTCTGAAAACACAAGTTCACATTCCTGAACTGAGCGGCGAAGATGAGGGGAAAACCATTTTCGTTGCCATATGGAGTAGATTTGAGAGAAAGTTGATATAATCGTGACCCCGATTTGGGTTTCGTTACAAGGTTCAGCAGAAAAGGGTAGTGCATCGTTAGGTCGCTATTCGTGCTAAAAATGTGATGTTATCTCATGATGTGAAACATAATGTAATAAATCTCCTCAGAGTAAGGCTTTTTTCCAGGACTCCAGGGGCCCCCCTCCAAGAAGGTTTATTTTCGATTTTTCCCTAACCGAGAAGAACGGATGCCGCCAAATCAGTTCTTTATTCGTTTCTACTTTCTCGTTCATCGAGGGCCTATTTGTACTTTTGAAAACCTTCTTTACAGGTTTGTCTCTTAAACAGTCCTGATCGCTAAGAAAGTGTTTGTTTACCGGGTACCGATGACTGTAAGTCCTCTCCGAGGGACTTGGTAATGTGGATTAATGTCTCACCAAAGGGCATTTGGTTCCGACCTCGGGACCTCCCCGTTATGAGATCGCTGCTCTACCATAGATCCATCGCGCCTCCTCTGTCCCTACTATTATTTATAACCAATTTTCTCTCGTTTGTAAGGCTCCTTGTCGTGTGAAATCACCCCGTGAAATCTGGATTGTCAATGGTGTTTCTTCCTGTCTTGAACCCGTATACGAGTTCAATTCAATTCAATTTTATTTTCCCCATTAAAACATAATAATTATATAATGAATACTTACAAAAGAGATGATGTAATAAGCTGGGATTCAGTGTTCCTTGTTTCATAAGAACGGAAAGAAAAATTGACCTTAAACATGTCGTTTTTTTTACCACATGTCAATTTTCGTAATATATAAGTAAAAAGTCTATGTTGACAGTTATTGAGTGAGCAAACGGTGTGTACTTTAATACCAAACCAACTTCATACAAATTCATATTCTACACAATCGTGCTGGTCTTATCATTACATGTTTTTTTTGTATTATATAAACCCCACAGACTGTATTGATGTATAATTTCCATAAGCAAAATTATTTGTGGTGGGAAATTGAATAAGAACTTCATATTCAAATTATACATCAATACAGTCTGTGGTGGAAAATTTTGCTTAAGGAAATTATACATCAATACCAAGTTACTTGATTTAATGAGGTCAAAGACTGGTAAAGATGTCAGATCATGGAACAAACTTACACTGGAGTTATATAATAAAAACTTGTAATGATACAAGCAGCACGTTTTTGTAGAATATGAATCTTTATGAAGTTGGTTTTGTAAGTACACAACATATTTGCTCACTCAATAACTGTCAACATAAACTGTTTACTTATATATTACGAAAATTGACGTGTGGTAAAAATAAATAGTGTTGTAAATAGTTAATAAAATATTTTGTGGTAAAACATTATTATTATTATCATCATCATTTTTATTGTTTTTATTAATTTTTCATTTTTTAAGTATTAGTTTTATAGTGTTACAACTGCTAGTCATGTCACTATTCTGTCAATATTTACATTAGAACACCAGTCAACTACCCCACCCTCTCCACAAAAAAACTATAGATAAATGAAAATACATTGACTTTCAATTTGTTCACGATATCGTAATTATCCATTT